GGGGTGTCTAATTGATAAAAGTTAATCATAGGATTAAAACCAGTAGCCAGCCAAGCAGAGTGGAGACAGCTTCCCAGCCAGGCTTGATTTAATTAGCAGCAATGAATACATTTTCTGCTAATAACCTTTAGGACTCTCTGTGACGGGTTCCCTGTGAAAGAGAATGGCCATGGAGCTCGGGAATACTTACCCACACCCCGGGAATTTGGTACTAATAACAAGAGACTGCAAATTCATTTAAGAAAATGTTCATAAACAAGTGACAGGCACTCTGAGTCCACGCTGGTGGAAACAATGGTGAAACTGACAAGTGTTCTTTGCTTGGGGGAGGGGGACTTTCATACAAGGAAATGCTTTAGAGAGGGTGGGGAAAGACAAGGATTTAAAAAAAAGAGAAAGAAAAAAAAATTATTTCAGATTCCAGGCAGCAGCAGATGCAGCAGCCCTTGCAAACACATCAGCACCACACATATTGAAGATTTGGACACGTATTGCTTCAGACCACTGATTTGCTTTTTTTTTTTTTTTTTTTTTTTTAATTCCCACTCTTCTTTTTCCATATGAATCAAACAGTCTTTTGTCCTTCAGGGTTTGATTTGATCGCTACTGTTCACATTTCACTTTTGTATTTTCCTCTTCCTATACCATTACTCATTGAGTGCCCTGTGAAATTACAATCGTACATTTTCAACTCAGCAACCCATTTGCAGTGCAAAAATAGGGTCTAAATAATGGCTGAATTAGCCCTACTGGACAGTTTCAGATGTAACACTCTGTAATAATTATATTGCAGGCTGGATTAGGATGCTATTATCATAATCTGGACGTTTACAATTATCTGTAATTTGCAAAGATGCGCCAGGTCTTGATTACAGCAGCTTTTTTTTTTTTTTTTTTTTTTTTTTTGTATCACGCTAACCATCACTAAACAGTGACAGTAATAACAGCTAATTTTGCTGGCAATATAAGAGGTGCTGGGGTGTGCAAACAATTTCACACCTGGATGTGCTCACTCAACCAAGAATATAGAGAAAGAGCTTCTGCCCTGAGACTCAGAAAAATATTCTTCTCTGCTTCTGTTCAGTATAGATTTCTAGACCTGATCATTGCTTAAGAGATACTCACTGGGGGTAAGTTTTATTTCTTTCCTACTTCAAGGCACAGTTCATACTTATCTTCTCATACTTTCCAAGGTCTGTGTGTTGCTGTTGTAATTCATTATAGACTGCAACTTTGCTTTACAGATTTTGCAATTCTGATCTTTTATCCCTCCCTGTTAACAGTAAAAGCGTTGTCATTCTGGTGAGTAAAAGATTCAGGTGAGAATGGGATCCTTAAGAACTCGCTTTGTCTTTTTCTTTCTTTTCTCTTTTCTTTTCTTTTCATTTTTCTTTTCTATGTTGTTAATGTATTTGGTGCAACTTGTGACTGGAGGCTGTGGAAAGGACTGGGTTTCTGTAAGGTGTGGAGGGAGAGCGCTGGAGATTCCAAGCTAAAATATCTCTGCAAATTGTTACTCAGCGTTAGTCCTAGGCGAACCCATTGAGGTCTTTATATGTGGCAATGGTTTCCAGTTTGGGGGCATGGAGGAACAAATGGAGCTTGAGAGAGTGCTCCTTTACTCCCATAGGTATGCGGACATTTGCAAAGGCAGGTGTAGTCTTATCTCTAGACTGTACAGCCCCTTACACATTCTCCACTCTGGGAGAAAGTTGCAAGAGCAACTGGCCTCTGAAACCCTCCAGGGCTCCATTGCAGGGCCTTTGCCTCCCGCTGGGGGTGGGGGCAGGTTGGGGAAGGGGTGGGCTGCCTCTCCTAGAGCTACTGCCTGTGGGGCCGAAAGCTGCGACCTTGGGGTTAGAGGAGCATGATTGGCTGAGAGGCAGAAGCCAGGTATGGAGCCCAGAAACCAGTGTGATTCCGGAGGGCGCCGGGAAGGCTCCGTGCTGTGCTATCTATAGATGACGCTGTTTCCTGACGCTGTGCACGCTAGCAGCCGCTGGAGATGTGCGGGGCTGGAGCCTGAGCAATTTTGGGCTCCCTCACCCCGTGCAGAAAGGCCTTTCTCCGACGCCAGCGGCAACGTTAGGACTAAATTGTGTCAAAAGATAATGAGATGCTTATTGACGCTGGGAAGAAATTTCCCCCTCCACCCTCACCGCCCGAAGCTATTGTTCCCTTTCTTCCTTTTTAACCTGGGAAATGTGGTCAGATCGAGCTCTAGAACTCCGGGGAAGTGCGAACGTGGGGAGGTGTCATCGCAGGCACCGAGACTGGGTGATGCCTTTTGCCCACGCCCCTCCTACCAATCCCTTTCTCAGTCACTAGTGCATGGGGGTCAATACCGACTAAAGTGCGAGAACATTAACCCTTGAGGTTCAGAGAGCCCAGGAAGCCCAGTTTCCAAGGAGAGTTCTGGAGGGGACCCCTCTTGGCAGAATTTAATCAAACTCACATTAAGAGAGAGATGAATGCAAGCCCATCAGGACAACACCTCCAATGTGTTAAAATGCATTTGCTGGGTTTCCGAATTTCAAGCACTCACCAGTGGGTTAGCCTGTGTCTGGTGGATTATTTTATTTTATTTTTTTAAAGAAAAATTAGTGTTGGTTTCGATGTATGGTAGCTTTCTCTCTAACGTAATTTGAATAATTCAGCAAAGCCCCATTACCAGCTGTACTTCTGCAGCCTCTTCCATTCTTTTCAGCATTATAATTTTGGTTAATTTTCAATTTTAGGTCCTACGTCTCTGCAATCTGTGTATGAATAACAGAATAATTTCCCTCTTTTGTTTCGCCTTTCCTGTTCCTGAATCTAAATAAAGATGGCTTTTTAGTATTAAAAGTGGAAGAAAATTACAGGTAATTATCTTTGACGGTAAAAACGCTGTAATCAGCGGGCTACATGAAAAATTACTCTAATTATGGCTGCATTTAAGAGAATGGAAAAAAACCTTCTTGTGGATAAAAACCTTAAATTGTCCCCAATGTCTGCTTCAAATTGGATGGCACTGCAGCTGGAGGCTTTGTTCAGAATTGATCCTGGGGAGCTGCGAACCCAAAGTTTCACAGTAGGAAGGGGGGAAAAAGAAAAGAAAACATTTTTCCTAATGTAACAATGCGAATGCTAGAAAATGACAAGACTGATCGGTTTTAAACCATTCTGAAGACTGACTGAGCGTGGAAGTTGCTCAACAAAAAAAGGAACGGGTATATTGGTAAGTCGTCTTTGCTTTGTGTCTAATTATAGTGACTGTCCTTTTGCACGGCTGTATGTCGCTGTCATTATATGGAGCACTCTGAGTGTCTCTATTGACTTCTGATAAATGGCTCAGTGGTTTCAAGGTTCATAATTTGAAGGATGCCCAGGTCTGTAGCCATTAATTCTCGCAGTATGGGGCTTCCTGCTTGTATGACGAAAGGACTTTTCATTTCCATTATTTCTAAGCTTTCCATGAGATCGGAGGATGTATTGCATCCAGGAGTGTGCTTTTCCTACCTAGCTAGCTTGCAAATGGTCGTAACATTAAATAGTCAAAATTGTGCGTTTGTTTTCTATTATATTTTCTCATATTGTTTCTCCCCCCCCCCTTTTTTTTGGTTAAAACGTGCTTGCAAAGAAAGACAAATACAGCTGTATTCTTTAGCTGAGAAAAGGGAGAGGAGAACAAGGTTGTCAGGGGATAGATCATTCTGATTTTTTTTAAAATAGAAGAAATTACAATAAAAATGTAATATAGAAAGGAAACTGGGAAAACACTTAAGACAAAGGCTAATGCTTCAAAATGACACCTTGTGCAAGCATTTGATGTGTATGTATATGGGGCTTCCCATATTAGGAAATGGGAATTCTTTTAAGAATGACAGAAAATATGAGAGGGGAAGAGAAGGGGGTGATGAGATAGAGACACATAGGGAGAAATATACAGGACACTCCCAGCATTTTTGTGGCTTTTACTCCATATATGAAAGAAGACAAAAACATACAAAGTATATGTACAACTAAAATTCAACAATATATACAGAAATGTTTCTTGATATAAACGTCCCTATTAGCTTAGTGAATGCCACCAATTCACCTAGTAAAAGTATCAAAGCAATAGAACCATGGTTTTGGTTGTTTCCTCTGTCTTTCCTGATTCCAATTCAGGGTTTGGGGTGGGGGGAAAGAGTGGTTTTGTTTTGTTTAGACATCATCATTCCTGTCCATTGCATTTTGATAAAACAGGCAGCGTTCCCTTTGTGGCAATGTTCTAATCTCCGCTGGTTTTTCCGTTTCCTTTAGAGAATGGCTGTTATGTGAGGGCTTTTCTTTTCTTTTTTCTTCTCCTTATTTATTTATTTTTGTCAGTCTGGGGTTGGTAAATAAAAAACGTAGGAGTCTGAAATGCTTCTGTTTCATCATGTAATGCCTTAAGTTCATTAAACAAGTAAAACGCTGCCATGTTTGCACAGATTCTTCTGGTGTGTGTGTGTGTGTGTGTGTGTGTGTGTGTGTGTGTGTGTGTGAGGGGGGTGTCTGTAAAAAAAAAAGTTGTTTTGATAGATACTCCCAAAGAGAAGAAGAGGCTCAGGGCCTGGATCCCAAGGGGTAAGGGAAAATATACTTACAGTGAGAGGTTCAGGAGCGCTGGCATAGTAACCAGCCTTGCTCTCTCCCTCCCTCCCTCTCTCTCTCCCTAAGATGCAAGATCAATTACAGAGGCTGCTCCAGGGAAAAGGCAGGTGAGGAAAGAAAAGGGAAAAGGGAAAAGGAAAAGAAAGGTGGGAAGAAAGGAAAGAAGGGAGGAGGGAGGAAAAGAAAGGGAGCAGTGTGAGAGAGAAACGGAGACAGAGGGAGTGGGGGAGAGAGAGGTGTGTGTGCACAGACGGTCTAGTCAGACGTGAGTTCTCCTGAGCCTGCTCCGTGGGCTTGGCTCGGTTTGGCAGCTGCAAGCAGGTCCCGGATCCTCCTTGCGTGGTTCAGACGTTTCCCTAGGGTATCCATTTCCTTCGGACAACTCACATCATCTGTGGTCTCTGCATCGTGTCCTGGTGTGGTGAGGAGTACCAGTGCGAATAGCTGGGCATGTAGCTGTTGGGGGGCATACTGACGCCCTTGGCGGAAGCTGAAACGTCCCACACCGGAGGCAGCGCGGGCGAGCGCGGCGACAGGGCTGCTGAGCCCGGGAGAGGGTCGCTCTCATGCGGGTTACTGCCCTGCTTCAGCAGTTTCTTAAACTTAGAGCGTTTGTTCTGAAACCATATCTTCACCTAGAACGAAGAGCAGTGGCAGTCGTTAGGCTCGAAAAATTCCCCTTGCCTTAAGTTGAGGCTTTGGAAGCAATTATTTAAAAGAATAGTAATACTAATAAATCAACCCCACAAGCCCCAAACCCTCGAGTCCCTGCTTTGCTCCACCTCTTCCTTCACCCCCACCCTACCCACCCATTTCCTAGGTATCTTGTCTGGATACCTAAACTCTTCAATTGGATGCAACAGGACTCCAATATCTTCTAGGTGTAAAACAACAGCATGAACAAGAATAAAATAAGAAGGAAGGCGCATCAGCTAGCTGGGTTCAAAGTAAGTCTAAAGAGGGATTTTTAAAACAAAACTTTTCGGATCAAAGCCAACTGAATGCATGCTTTCTGATCGTCTCTTTCTTAAAAATATATTTACCAATCCCCAAACCTGGCATCTCTGAGCAGATATCTATGAATAGATTAAAGCCTATGCCTTTATATCCAAATGACTTAAATATCTTTATACATATACTGCACATGCCACACACTGTGCATGGGGCACCTTTCTCCCTTCGTAAATAAATCCTGCAGAGATTAGGGACTGTACCCCTCTCGTTCCCTACTTTGTATGTTGCTTAAGTCAAGCTGTGGTCAGCAATCATCACATGATTGTTAGTGTGGCCACTTCAAGTCAAAGGGCCTCTAAAAATTAAATGGAAATCAGGAATCAGTGATGTGAGAATATCTAAGCTAACATACCAGGTCTCCCTTTCCTTGAAGAAGGAAATTCTAGGGTGCTACTTCCTGTACCTTTAAAATTCCTTAGCCACAGGAACCTGCTTTTCCAAGAGCAATATAAGTTCCTGAGTAGCAGGAATCCCTTCCTTCCAAGCCCCACGTATTTCCAGAAGCAAAATTGCAAAAGAAAGCAGGCTGGATTGAAAAGGAGAGCTTAGGGGCATCTGTTCTAAGGCTCCATGCAATCATTCCCCAGCAAGAGTCTCAGAAAACCTGGAGGTCCCTTTGCTGAAGATCACCCACCTCACATGAGGCCTACCGCCCCACGCCACTAAGTTAATCGACAGGGACAGAAACCACAGGTGATTGCAGCCTGGCTTTATGACCAGGGTCTTAATATACCTGCCTAAGCCCCTTCCTGTGAAGTCTGAAAGGGCCCATATGTCTTGCAAATTAGTAGGGCAGCAAAACCTCAGCAACTGTACTTAACTGAGGCTTCACCTGCTGTAATTTGGGCAGCACTTCTCTTTGATCTCCACCTCTGCCATCGCTCCCAAGTTCTGTGCTCTATGGAGGTACCTCTCCAGCCAGTCACCAGGATGATTTAGCCACTGAGCTTAGGGCAATCTTCTGAAAAACTCACCTCACCCATCCCAGGATGGATAGCTGGCACCTTGGTCCCTCAACACAAAATCCTATTGGAGCCTATGGCTATCTCCCCTCTTCTTTTCACTTCATAATTCTCTGCCAACAGGCTGAAATCCTGACGTCCAAGGACCCACAAAAGGATGGCATTATCTATCTATCTATCTATCTATCTATCTACAGATACATGTTTTATTCTGCCTCCTGGCCTGAATATCTTTTTCTCTTTCTCTTTCATGTTGTTGTGTTTTGAAATAGGACTCGAATAAAGGATGAGCTTGGTCACCAAAGGACACTAGACTGGGGTGGGGTCGCCGAGGGTTGGGGAGATGTGCACATCCAGTCCAGTATTCATTTGTTCCAAACTGCGCTGTCCTGGGGCAAGTTCGTAACTGGAGCGGAGGCATGTGTCATTAATCTTCCATCCTGGGTGGACTAGGCCAAGAATTCCTCCTGACGCGCTCCCTGCCCGATGGATGGATCTGCAAGCGGGGGGCCAGCATTTCACGGGTATTCGGGCTTCTCGGGAATTACCTGTGTTTGTGTCAGTCCTAAGGAAGCTGCCAGTTCCGCTCTCTCGGGCAGGGCCAGGTACTGAGTCTGTTGGAAGCGATGGTTTAAAGCCTGGAGCTGCAGGCTGGAGTAAATGGTCCGAGGCTTCCGAATCTTTTTCCCTTTTCCATTGAACCTGATTTCCCCGTTTTCGATCACTGTGGTTTTTTGTTGATCTGCAAGCAAAAAGGATACAGAGGAGCGGTCGGTCACCCGCGAGGCCACTGCTGCAGTCTCCCTGAACAGGGGCGGGTAACCCAGGTTCTCCCCAAAGACCGATAAGGATTTCCTCCAAGGCGTCCCTACGCCACCGCTGCCACCGCCACCCTGCCCTCCCCGGGTTCACGGGTGCTCCCAGAGGCTGCAGAAGCTTTGCCGGGCCCTGTAAAGGCTTTGCTCCGGCTCTGACAATCCGCGGAGGCTGGACGCAGGGCGCCCGCGGTCCTCGGGGCGAGCAGCCGGGCTCCCGCCGCAGAGGAGGCGGCGCCGGCCGCTCTCGGGGCGCCGGGCGGCCGTCGCTCCCTCCGCAGAGCCAGGCCCCGTTCTGGCTTCCCGGGGCCTCACGCTGAGCCACCCCGGTGATTACGCGGCCGGTTGACCAGATGTCACTTAGTCCCAAGCCTGGCACCTCCAAGCCCCTTGGCGTCTTTGAAATGATTCCGCTGAAAAGAACCCAAACCCCAACCCAAACACAACCAGACGCTCAGACCGGCTCCCGAGCCAGCGGAGCCTCGCACGGCAACTCCGTCGCCCTTGGGTGCTGGGAACCGTCCGCCCGAGGCCCTCTGTTTTGTCTCCACGAACAAAGGAGCAGCCGACAGTGTATCCAAAAGCCAGAGGGAGGGGGCCCGGCCAGTGGTGGGGTTTTGGGGGGGACCCCCTCCAAGCCCGCCGGTGGAGCCCAACTGTCACCAGCTTAACCAGAGCCAGAGAGGCCATGCCACCTTCCCTCCGGGTCACCGAGGCGCACGGGGCCCCTGGCTGCCCAGATTGGATCGGGGAGCAAAGCGCGCTCCCCAGCTCCGGCGCAGAGGTGTCCGGGTGCTGCCAAACCCAGGTCCCAGCCCGGGGAGGGGAGGGAGGCCGGCCGGGGCGCACAGTCCCGCGGAGGGCCAGCTCGCGGGGCGAAGCCTGCTGGAGCCGGAGGCTGGGGGAGCCGGCCGGGCTGCGCCCCGGGGCGGGAGGGGGGGGGTAAGCCGGGGGTCGGCGGCGGCGGCAGCGCGAAGGGGCCCGGCGGCGGGGCGAGGCCGGCAGGCAGGCGCCAGGCGAGCGGGGCCCCCGCGCACGAGAGGCCTGGCCGGGGCGCGCCGGGCCGCCTGGGGGCGGGGGTCCGGGGAGGCCGGGGCGGGCGGGCGGGCGGGGTGGGGGACAGCCGGGAGGCGGGAGACGCCAGCTGCCCCGGCGGCGGCCTCTCACCTGTGTCGTCCCCTCGCGCCTGGGCGGCCGCGCTGCTGTTGTGGTAGGACTGGAGGTAAGGGCTGTGCTGCGAGTGGCTCATGTAGGGGTAGGCGGCGGCGAGCGAGCGGTGGTTGTAGGAGTTGCCGCCGCCCGACGCGTAGGGCGAGCCGTGATGGTGGTGGTGCTGGTGGTGGTGGTGGTGCGAGCCGGCCGCCGCCGCCGCCGCCGAGTGCAGGCAGTGCAGCGGGTAGTGCGCGCCGGCCATGGCCGGGGAGCTCTGCTGCGAGTGCGGCTGCGGCGGCGCCGGCGGCGGCGGCGGCGGCGGCGGCGGCGGCGGCTGCTGCTGCTGCTGCTGCTGCTGCTGCCCGAACTCCATGAAGGCGGATTTGGACGAGTCCTGGCCTTCCAAGCCGTCAGCCATCGTAGTCATGGTCATCATCAAAACTTTGGGGGCTGGAGAAAGCCTTCTCCCGGGTTTCCTCCACCCTCCCCCCCACTTGGCTCGCGCCGCGCTCTCCCCTCTGCAGCCACCTTAGCTCTTGGGATCCTTGCAAAAAGGAAAAAAAAAAGAAGAAAAAAAAAAAAGAAAAAAAAGGGGGGTGGAGGTGGTTCTCCCTCTCCCTCGCTCGTCTCTAATATATATATCTATATATATATTTTTAATATAAAGAGATATAGTGAGCGGGGCCTTGTTAACTCCAAGGGAGGAGGAAGGGGGAGGGATGGGAGAGGAGAGGGGGAGGGGGGATCTGCTCTCCCTCCCCCCCTGCGCTTCCCCCCTTGGTTTTTTTGGGGGCTGGTGCAGTTTAAGGCAGAGATTTTAAGGTGGATTCTGCGAAAGTTGCGCGTCTGCTTTCAGACTTGATGCAGACGCCACGAGTCGAATGGTTGGTCTCCAAAGGGCAGCGCCTCCCCATTGGCCAGCGGCCCCCTGACGTCACAGGCGCACGGCTTCCACTGGCGCGCGCGCGGCTCGCAGACTCCTCCGCCTGCCCCGGCGGCGGCTCCAATCCCAGCCGCGGCGGCGGCCGGGCCGGCGGCTCCGCGCCCGCCCGGGGCGGCCCGGGAGGGAGGTGCCTCTGCCGGCCTCCGCCGCAGATCGCGCCCCGGAACCCGGAGCCTCAGTCCCCGATCCCACAGCCCTGGAACCCCCTGGCTGGCGGCCGCTCCCTCTCCGTCCCCTTGCACCCCTAGCAGGCTGTATGTGTTCAGAAGCAATACCCTCTGCATTTAAAGCTAGGGCCCCCCTCCCTTGATCTCGCCTTTCCCCCCACCTCCCAATTCCACTACAGTCCCACGGGAGCGTCCTGTCACCGTGGATTTTTCCTACCGTGCTTTATGGAAACCACAGAGGGAAGAGCCTCCCACACCTGGACCCCACCCCAATGCGGGGAGGTGGGCAAAGAAAAAAGAAAAACTAGACCCTGTTCTGATGAGGTTCCTACCGTTTTATTGCAGGCCTTACATTAAACAAAAGTGGGAGGGGGATGCACCCCTCCCCCCCAACGCACCAGCCTGCTCTGAAAGTGAATCGTTGGAGGACTGACAGTAATGCATTTTTTCCTATTGAAAACAGAAGCTACTGTAATGCTTTCAAATATATGCAAATGATACATGCGGTTAGTGGTTTGGCAAATCTTGATTACAATATAAACTACCCAAGTAAAAGTGCCTTCGTCCTAAATTTGTCTCTCGATTACAATTCCAATTGATTTTATTTTATTGTCAACATTGTTAATGATAAAAATAGAGCCGTTTTACAGTTATTTTTACTTTCTGGAAGGAGGCAATTAGAGTTCTAATCAGGAATACACAAAAATCTCCCATGATTAACTGCAGTACTTTGTTCAAATTGCTGCTATAAAATTCAGAACAATTTGCCTGTAATGATTATGGACTGGGTTTATTTTGGGAGGTGGAATAAAAGTGGATATAGCATAAATTATCCTCTAATTATACACCAGTGTCGCCTCAATTATCCTCTTATCAAAACGGTTGTCTAACTGCCGCATTTAGTTTCAATTCTCTCATTTTTTTCTATAAAAAGAACTTCATACCTTGTTATTATTAATCCATTTATTATTTGCAAGGGGATTTATATCCGCACATCCAGGTGGTAGAGCCACTTCTCTTTCACAAATGGACTGGGGAAAGACACCAAGTTCGGAGCAGCCCGGGGGCTGCAGATCTAGCCTCTCCCCTCTGGTCTGGGACCCGCTGGGGTCCGGGCAGCCCAGCAGAGACAGCGGAGCCCTGCGCGCGGCTCCGGCCAGAACACCAGGTAGGACAGCCCGATCCGGATCCGGACCTGGCGCCGAGGAGGGCGGGCCGGGCCAGCTCCCGGGCCAGAACCGGGGGGACTGCGGGAAGCTCTGGGAGTCCGCGCGGCCTGAGGATCTGGGTGGGCAACCCATGCGGACCCCCAGGGGCTGGATGCCAGCTTTCCATCTGGGCGAAGACCAAAGCCGGGAGCTTCTGGCTGCCACAGAAATGCCTGACCTAGCCCCTCCGAACCCACAGCTCTGTAGGTCGTGCATACCAATCAATCGGGGTCTTTCTCTGGGAAAACTGTGGAGGGCTTCTTTGCACTCCGTTCGCTCGGACTCCATAAGTCCTGCGGCCCCAGGAACCTGAGAAATGGACACTTTCGTGGTGCCGCCTGTCCCTGTGACTCCAGAACCAGTGGCTGCAGACGTAACCGGTAACCACTCTTATGTATTGACATGCTGCTCGGAGCTCCGAGGCTCCAAGTCGGTTTACGCTTATTGGTTTACTCTGCTTGCAACCGGGGTCTCCGGGCTTTGCCAAGCTAGTTTGTCCCTTCCTCCCTCCTTTCCTTCCTTCCTTCCTTCCTTCCTTCCTTCCTTCCTTCCTTCCTTCCTTCCTTCTTTTTTTCCTTCCTTCCTTCCTTCCTTCCTTCCTTCCTTCCTTCCTTCCTTCCTTCCTTCCTTCCTTATTTTTTCCTCCCTTTCTACCTTTTTTTCTCTCTTTCCTTCCCTCCTTCCTTCCTCCCTCCCTCCCTCCTTTTCTCCCTCTCTCCCTCCTTCCCTTTCTTCCTTCCTTCCTTCCTTCATCGAGCCCCTAGGTTTCTAGAGTTCTCAGGGCAGCAGTGTTGGGTCTCCTCTCCACGCCCCCACCCCTCTTTCCCACCGTGCTCAATTTCAGGAGCCTCTGGAGCCGGTTCAGTAACTGAATTCATTTTTAAGTAGCATGCCCTGCTCCCCTCTTCTTACCAAGAGGTACACTTCAACACTCGGACAGGTAACCTGCCCCACGCATTTACAAACCGGCAGAGAATTAAAACAACAACAACAACAACAACAAAAAGCTTCCAGGAAAAGGAAAGGTGGGCTGGGGAAGGGGGCGATGTGCGAGGGTGTGTGTGTGAGGGTGTGTGTGTGTGTGTGTGTGTGTGTGTGTGTGTGTGTGCAGAATGGGAGGTCAGAGAAAGAAAGGTCCCCCCTCCCCTGGAGCGCTCTCGGCACACCCGGGCTGCACGCCGAGCTTGTTTGTAAAGCCCTCAAAGCCAGCAGGTACAAGTGGCAGTTTTATTGCTTTATACCCTGCAGCTTGCTGTTAACACGGCGAAGGCGGCTCCCGTGCACGTCTGTGTTTCTGTCTTGGTGTTTGCAGGTGCACTGCCTTTTCTTCGCTGGCTTCCCGGCTCTGGCCGTCCCAGAGCGGGGCTAGTGCTCCCGGCCAGGTCGGGAAGGTTCCCGTGTCCAATCCCAGATCCAGCGCAGCAATCAGTTTGCAAAGTTCCCCGCTCCTCCCCCAGTTTGCGTAATGCCCCGAGAAGTGACCAGGCTGTCACTGCAGGGCAGTCGTCCCTCCCCATGGGATGGAGAATAGATTCCAGTGTTGTGTTGGTGTAGCCTGCAGTAAAGGTCCTGCAGAGACCTGCTGAGCGGCCCAGATTGGGCTCGGTCCGGCAGGGGCGGGCTGGGGAGGAGGGGGCGGGCGAGGGGTCCCTCGCCGCTTGAGAGGGGTCTCTGTGTGTTTGCTGGATAGGATCCAAACTGCGGGCTTGCTCATCCCCTTCCCCGCTTAGTCCCGCGAATAGCCAGCGGAGAGCAGGCTGGCCCGCACAGTGTGCCCAGGTGGCGGCTGTGAGTGTCTGCCACGTGTGGCCTCTGCCGTCAGCCCGGGGGGAAAGGGGTTCTGCCAGCAGCGGCCGGCTGCAGCAGGGCAGCGGCCTTTCCCCACGGTCCTTTCTCTCCAATCGATCCCGGCATCTCCGCTTCGAAATCCTTCGCTGGGTGTCGGCGGTGATGAGCACAGGCGGATGGAGTCGCCCTGGTTCGTTCCAGTCCAGCCCGCACCTCTGGCCCTTTCGGCGAGGGGCAGGCGCCCTGGGATTCTTCAGGGCCTAGGGGCGAAAGCCACGCTCCGGGGCTCCTAGCTCCCCCTGCAAGTCTGCCCGGTACCCGGTGGCTCCAGCTGGGGGACGCCTCGCCAACCCCGCCGGCTGGGAAGAGCAGGGTAGGCGAGGCCTCTAAGTCTTTATTATTCAAAATAGAAGCCACCGGGAGGACTCAGAGTCTGAGGCTCTTTTGAGGCTTATGGTAGGTGAGAGTTATATTCAGGAAGAAGTTTGAAGAAGCAGGATTTGAAGCCCAAAGTGCTTTTCCCTTTCTAAAGCGTTGAGGCGTTGGGTCTTGTATCCCGGCTGTCAGTGTTCTGTAGAGAGAGATCCTGAGGGGCTGCCAACACCAGACGTGGTGTCAGTGCGCCCACGGCCACTGTGGAGCCGCGGGCTCTCCGGGTGGGAAAAGCCCTGTTGTGCCAGCGGTGGCTGAGTGTCTGCAGCACCCACGTGGGTCAAGGAATGGGCTGGGTGATGGGTGCTGGGTGTTGGGTGAGGTGTGCAGCCTCCCTGGGCTGTGGAAGCACTTTCAAGCCCCGCAGGGCCTGGCTGGGTTTGGTTGCTAAGTTGGGCTCAATTATCACGTTAATTCTAAAGAAATTAGACCTGGATAAATAGCCTTTGAATTCAAAGAAATAACGCGGTATTGACTTACATAGCCATGCTTTAAGAAAAGAAAAAGGAAAAGAAACCCTTCTCCACAGGAGACATGGATGGAAAAAAAAAATTCTTGCTAGTATTTTCTCCATTCAGTGTAAAATTCTGTTTATGCACATGTGTAGGGAAAGGGTGCTTGAGATCTTGGAAACCCACACTCCCTGTTCCCTCCCTCAACGCGTACACCTGGGAAAGCTGGAGGAGAGCTGCCTCTTCGCCTTCCTGAGCCCAGGCTAGGAATGGTATCGCTGGAGTAGCCAAAAGTAGCTATGCAAGAAGGCACCGAGATTATAGCACTATTTCCTCCAGTGGCAAAACTATAATGCCCATGTTATAATGGCCTCCCCTCCCAGGCCCTTGACATCCAGCTAAAAAGTGGCCTCAGATAGAGGCTCACTGAGGTCTGGGGACAACAT